CAGATCCAAACGCCATCCTATCCTCAACATTTCTGTTGAAGATTAAAAGAAAAAACAAAACAAAACAAAACACAAAACCAAAGGAGGCAGACAGTTGCAAGAAGCCTACTCACAAGTTTCAAGGGATAGCCACACTGATACATCTTCCTAGAGGAGCCCATTAACAGCAAACAGATGAAGCGCCCATTACGTGACAAGTTTCCTGAGCCTCCCTTCTTGCAGATGCCATTCTCCTTTGATGGTAAGAAACCTTCCCAAACCCTTCAGAAGCCCAGGCAAACAAGCAAATTGTTCCAATGCTATATTCTGCAAAATTGCAAAAGGTTGCACATACATCTGTTACACGAGGCAAGAACATGCTGTATAACAAACTATGCCTGAGAATAACCTCACTCTCCAGGGACGTACACCGCAAACCCCAATCAAACCCAAGCAGCATGAGAGCAGTGCCAATTAGAAATGAAGCAAACTGAACACTGCCCAATGTTACAGCCTGAAATTACAGAAGCCGCCATCTGAAAGCTTTGCCAAAATGCCACAACTGCTAAAAGCCTTCCTACTTTCAAACACACTAAATATGAAAACACAACCGGTACGTTTTGATGATTTTAGTGGAAGGCAGTATAACAGTATTAAATTAACACTTGCAAATTAGCATGTCTTACTGTTTTAATTAGATACAAGGGAGGAGAAATGCTTCCACTTGTCACACCTGAACTTCCAAATTCTGGAGAAATTCAGATCCAAATTTTGCTCTTCGTGACGTATTCATTTCTAATTAAACCTATTAAGACAGGCTGCATTTAATAAAAATGCCTATGCCTTTGACATAAACAAGAACATGAAAAAACCAAAATCCATTACCAGCTTCATGGGCAGAGAGAAAAAAGCCTGATACATCTACAGAATGCAAAATTGTTTTTTAACAGAACCTGCCCAGTGGATATGCCTGAGATTGAAATTACTTTCAATAGTATCCTTTGCCTTTCATTCTTATTGCTTGCTTGTTCATGCATCATGTTGATTTTTTTCTCTTTGATATTCTTGCTTGTCATCTAGAAATAAATTACTATTTCTACCCACCCTCTGGCTTTTCTGTACCACAGCACAGTCATTTTGTGCTGAAGGAGCTGTTCGGCCGCCAACTACAAATGGTGAAGTTGGTCTGAGCAGTGAGGAGAGTGAAAAGAATCCTGAAAAAACCTCCAAGTCACTACAGAGGCAGCCAGAGGCCAAATGTGCATCTCTTGCACGTGCAGACACAGGGCCTGTGAGCCAGTGCCCACACTGCCCAGTCCAGCCAGGCGCTGCCAGCATCTCCTCGGCTGCGGCGCCCTGTGCACCCATCACCTTGGGCTTGGCCCTCGTGCCCGTACTTCCTACCCAGCAGCAAGGTTTTGCCCAGTGAGGTCAATGCATCTAAGCTGGGACAGTATATCCAAAGCGTACGACTCTCCTGTGCTCAGATCTCTAAAGCAGAACTTGACTTGTGGGCATTTCGTGTGTGTGTGTGTGTATATATATTTGTATACACACACACACACACACACATCTCCCCCACCCCCTCTCTATATATATGGCCACAGGAAATTATCCTACCATGCACAAAAAAAGCAAGCTTGAGAATCAGGGAATTTGGTAATCTAAGTTTGACCACATCTTCGTCCAACTACTGGACCCACTCCCAGGAGTTTCTGGCAGGCCTGCTTCAGGATTCTCAGACATAAAGGTATTACATTCATTTTTTAAGAGGAAAGTGGCAATAGGATGTCAATTTTCCCCTACTGCAGAGTAGGTAGAGCCACCCTCCGCTCCTTTGATGCTGACATCAAAGTCTCACTGCTCTCAGCTCAGCAAGAACAAACAATTAAAAACAGATCATATAGCAGAATTTAACCTGTTCCTGTCTTCCTGCTCGGCAGTAATCTTGACAAAAATAAGTAGCTTTTGTCCCATGACAGATCCTGAGAGTGGACTCAGAGTTCCTCAGCTCAGTGACTGGCGTTAGGGGATGCCCTTAGTGCACCACCTGGCATCCCCCCCCCACAGGTTCCTCTAGGAAAGAATGCACTAGGTAGAAATAATACACCCTGGGCCAACTATGATATATGATTTTGGCCAGCCTATGGTGCCTTCGCCACCTGTGATAACACAGCGTGCAGGACTCGGGTATCACTACGTAACAGGCCAGGCTCTGCTCCCAACAACTCCGTGTGCAGTTTTGGCCGGGACGAGATCCTGCTTCCTAACGCTGCAGTAGAAGATCATAACAAAGGGCTAGTGCAAGGGCAAAGCCTGGGTGTTTACTTTGTAGAATCAGAGACTGATTCGTACAGATAAGGGTGCAAGAGGCAAGAAACTTTTATCCAGGAACAAACTTTTAGCGTAGGGTGTGGGGTTTTTTTGTTTGGCTTGGTATGGCTTTTTGGTTGGTTGGTTGGGTTTTTGTTAAAGTACATCATAATAGATGCTTTTGAAAGGATTCTGTGCAAATCCTGGCAACAGAACTGATAGAACCCTCAAAAAAATAGCCAAACTAATCTGAAAACCCACTTATTTATTTTTATTTTTAAATTTTCCCCTATCATATGTTTTCACTTACACACAGGGTAGCACATTGGGGGATATTTACTAAGTAAACATTGTAAAGGTCACCTAAAAAGCTAAGTTACTGGTAAATGTTTACTAGAATTAATATTAATAATTTGTCAGTATTCAATCTAATGCAGGTAAAAGCAGGTGAGAGCCTCAGCTAGAAACTGGTGCCCCTCACATCCTTTCACTCTGGACACAGCACAGCAGGCAGCAGTTCTGGCAGGGTTCCCGGCCGCAAGCAGAGGATGCTGGCCAGGGATGCAGCATGTTGGCCATAGACACCTCTGCTTGGTCCCGTCTGTCAGCCCCTGGGAGACTTTGCTACCGCGGCTCTGCTTCTCAACAGCTCCCACTCACAGTCCGGTGTCATGACATCTAGATACCCTTTTTTCCTTTCGGCACTGGCTCTGAAATGAGTCCACGGTCTCCCAGTCTGAATGGTCCCCTGCTTTTCCAACCAGCATCACATCCGAAATCCCGCTTGAGGATGTCACCCACTTCTTGCGGTGCCAAGACAAGAACCAGAAGCCCTAAACACAACGTGGGGGGCTGTGAGATTTTCTGCTGGGAAGGTAACCTCATAAATCACACGATAGCCCGTGATTTTCAAGCCCAGTTTTGCCAGTAATGTTTCAATATCCACCAATCTGTCTCAAACGTGAAGAGTGAGCTTGCTGATGTTTGCAGCATGCGTTTCCATGCACCTTTACTCTGCTCAGACCCATGCCGAGCAGCACGCTTGGGCAGCTGTCTAAGTCCCAGCCATCTGCCTGCAGCCCATCAGGCTGCTCTTTCACGTCAGCTCCCAGATGGGAGCTTGCTTCCGTGAGTGCCTCTCAAAAAGCGAGAGGTGTCCCGCTCCCTTAGGAAACTCATGCTCCACCAGTGTTAACTCCTGAACACTGAGCTGCAAGGGATTAACCTCCAAGCAACATATACTAAAAAGCAACCTTTAGAGGATGGATGCTGGTATCCGGGTCCAGTTGGAGTCAGTGAGGTAACTTTTAGCAGCTGCTGAAGCTGGCAGGGACAACTTGCATTTCCCACATCAGAAAGAAGATGATAAACTTCACTGAGTGATGTGTTTAACATAACTACCGGGGGAAAAAAACAGACAAAAATAGGAGTAAAACTACACAAAACCTGATTCTGGTATAGGGACTTCAGCTACCTTGCTGACCAACAGTGTATACCTACTAGAGTAAGCAGAAAGGAAGAAGGCTGCATGGGAGAAACTACTCCACGCCTTAACACCCTTTGGGATCCTGCTAATTTCAGTATTGGGCTCTGCATCCCGAGGGCCGAGAGCCGTGGGGAGGGCGCGGGGTCTCTTCTGCGCTTGCTCGGCAGCTGCGGTGGTGCAGAGCTCTGTGGGAACAAAGGACGCCCCGCTCCTCCCATCGGGGACCCCTGCCATGTTTCCATGGGAGCAAGGACACAGAGATGTTTTTGTGAGTCCTGGAGGTGCTAACCCTCCTGGAGAGGCTGCAGCACCAGAAATGCTCTCACAACATGAGGTGAATGAGGGGTTGTTCAGACTGACAAAAGATGCGCATGGCACCAGTCCCAGAAGTGCATGTCACGTTTAATAAACTAATGGGAATGAGGAATGCAAAGCCTCATCTGCATAGGTTAGGGGTTTTTCCCTGCAAAATAGCTCATTTAATTTAAATATTCCTACAAAATGCTGAAAAGCAAGCAGCCTAAACTCGATTTGTCTCAATCCACCTGAAGCACCCTGTTACGATCATGCTAGTTCCTCACAAAAGCATGGGAAGAAAGAGCTGGCACAAACCCGGGGGCTCTCTCTTCTCTGGTATGAGACTGCAAAAGTGGAACAGACCACGGGCTTAAAATATACCTGACCTGTCTCACTTAAATACAGCGTGCCATA